TTGAAACAAGCCATTAATTTAAAAATGTATCCAGTCAGTGTGTTAAACATGTTTGAGATGATAAAAAAGGACTTTCTTCTAATAATGGGATCCAGTATGGCACATGTCTGATGATGATGTCATGATGTCAGGTTGTGCAAACAGAAAATCATTTTAAATTTCATCCCAACATTTTCAGAGCTATTAAATACACCATGTTGAACTGTGAGAAATGTATAAAATGATGAAGACACATTGAATTTTCCATTATGTAACATGTAGCTGCAATGATGTGTTGGAACAAGCGTATAGAGAATAAAAATGCAATATTATTAAACATTGTGGATGTTTTTTTTCTAATTGTAAAGCTAAAATCAGGGTTCAATAGGTTTAAACTATTAATTTTTCTGTTGACTTGATTTGGTATAACAGATAAGGAATATTCAGCATAGCACAGTGATTGCATTTTTCCAAACCTGTAGGCCGTCTGACACACTGACAAGCAGTCACATTTTCTAAAAAATCTAATCAAATAAGAGACCCTTTCTTCATAACATTGCCGTTAAAACAAACTCCTTGCTTAGTCTAAGAAGTAATGTGCTCTGAGGTGGTCATTATATCCAAAATAAGTTGGGCCTTTTTCTTAGTATTTTGGGCATGCTTTTTAAAATCTTGAGATCTTATTGTCTTGAATATCTCTATAAAAAAGGTACAACTATAGTCAGGAGGAGTAGAAGAATTCCTCACACACACCGTTTTAATCAGCAATTAGTCTAACCCCCACCTTCTTTAACTTTTAATACTGTTATGTGGTTGAAACTAAATGGTTAGCCATCTTGCATAATGTCAAAATAAAGTCTAGGGGTTTCAGTTAGCTCTGTTGGCAGAGTGCACGCCCCATGTACGAAGGCCGAGTCCTCCCAGCAGAGGATGTTCGCAGACGTTGCTGGATGTCACCCCCACCCCTCCCCCTCCCTCTCCTCCAACTTTCATGTTTCTCCTTGACTGTTGTATCCAATTAAAGACTAAAAAGCCCCCCAAAAGGCTTTAAAAATAAGTCTGTGGATGCAGATTTAATAATATTCTTCCTGTCCTGTTCCATGTCATGCAATAGTGCCAATAAAGTCAAGCTTCTTCTGATGCATTCAGATATGATCTTATATGTTTTTAGAAACATACACAGCAGGCAGCTCTGAAAGCAGGTCTGTTCTAAAACCAAGATGGTCGGAAGCTCTGCGTTTATAAAATAAATAGATACACATCAAGAAGACTTGTGGCATCCTCAAAACCTTGCATAAAAAAGCATGATTTAATATTTGTCTCTGGGGTTTTTCAACAAAACAAGACAGTCTTTAAATAAATTGTCCTGCTGACTTTGAGAAAAAATGTTAGATACAAACAAATTTCTATGATGCACATACTTGTAAATACATTTTGCACCTCAACATTGTTAGTAGCATCATTCATAGCATGATCAGCATATTTCTTTTATTTACAAAGAATAATTGTACCAAAAGGCAAATCTTCTTAAAATTCTTATTATTTTATTTTCAAATATACAGCAGTTGCCAATGTGAATAGATACACACAACATCAATGTTGGCGCACTCACTCTACATTTCTATCAACATTTTTATAAAATACAATTTTCCCTGCTGTTTGAAACAATTAGACTAAAAAATCAAATTCAGGGTACAGTTATCAGAAGCCACCACGTTTGGGGTATACCCCTTGAAACCTTTTATGTATTATCATGGCTCACAAACTTGCACACAACATCCACTAGGGTGTCATGTATGACAACGGATGCAGTGACAACGGATGTATATAGAGCGATTCCTTGTATTTTAACTGATTTGTTGGGTAAGCATAGTATTTAGGACCTCCTGACACATATTCAACAATTCATCATCACCAGTATCTGTCTCTTGGAAACGAGATCATACAGCATAAATCATGCATATTCTGTTGTCAAGGAGCCAATTAAGATGTTTGTCTTCAGTTTTTTTGCATGTCCTCCATGCTATGTTCAGATACAAATTTAACTGCCTGTCATCGTACTGGTCACTAAATATGTAGCAGGCAAATTGTTCAGGGTCCATCACTAACTTGCATGTAGCCTGATTTTCACTCATCCCAGAAAGTACTTGGCATAGCTTTGTTGACAGCCATTTTTTTTGGATTTAGTTGAATCCCCTCTTTGTCATAGTGATCCTGGGTGTATTTTGCTTTAGAGTCTTCTTCTTTACAAAACTCTGGTAGCCTGAAGCCTCCTGCTTCTGCTGTAGAAGATTGTCACATTTCTCTACATACCTAATCAATTTTGGTGACAACAAAACCTTTTTCCAACAGCCATCTTCAGTTTAAAACTTACCCCAAGTTCATGAAAAAGCTCTCAGGATCAGAGTAGTTACACTCACTGGTCTGGTTTCGAATCTCTGCACATGTGACACAAAGGGAACATCAGCTTGCTGTTACAGCGGTATGGACATGTGGTAGGTAATCCACCCCCCTGGGGAGGTAACAGTAAATTCTAGCAGCCCAGAAAGTCATTTTCAGTGGTTCAAAAAAAAAAAAATCACAGAAGATTGTTTTTCTAGTAGGCTACTTCTAGCACTACAAGTAGCCTAAATTAGGATAAACTTTGCACACAACTTGGGAGAAACATTGCACACAGTAATGTCTACACTAAAATGGAACACAGTATCAAAATGCACATCAAATCAACTAAGGACCTCGATACGGTCAGAATCTTTTCTACCAATAGAGGGAGGCAGAGGGCCACAAGCGTTACCTCTTAATAAGCCCTTACCTGGGTGTGAAATTCCATCCATCCATCCATCCATCCATCATCAACCGCTTATCCTGCATACAGGGTCTCGGGGGGCTGGAGCCAATCCCAGCTGACATTGAGCGAAAGGCGGGTCGCCAGTCCCTCGCAGGGCGAGAGTGTGAAATTACTATAATAAATTTGTTACAATGTATAAAACATTACAGTGTCTGACTTACATCGCCCGGTGATGCCCACAGGAGTGTGTAAAACAAAAAACACAAAATGTCACAATTTTTTTTCTCAACATTTCATTTCATGGCTGCCCCTAGTCTCACTCAACTAAAAATCTCCTCTGTTTCATCTCAATTTTTTAAGTAATTTGATTGAGTCTCTCTCTCCCTCTCTCATATATATATATTAATCACCTTGCCCCTTAACGGTTGATTGTAATTTCAATGTTATTTAGACACTGGACAGCCACAGGTAGGCCAAGAACCACTAGCTATATCCGGGATGCCATGACAGTGACGGCGGATGACATGCTTGAGACGGTGTGAGGTGATTTGTGGAGTCACGATGATAATGAAGCACAGAAAAAAGCACAGGCTACTAGCCCCCGGTCCCTCTCTACAGAAGGTACAGTGAGGGAAAAAATTATTTGATCCCCTGCTGATTTTATACATTTACCCACTGACAAAGAAATGATCAGTCTATAATTTTAGTGGTAGGTTTATTTGAACAGTGAGAGACAAAATAACGACAAAAAAATAAATGCCTGACAAAAAATTTATAAATTGATTTGCATTTTAGTGAGTGAAGTAAGTATTTCATCCCTCTCAATCAGAAAGATTTCTGCCTCCCAGGCATCTTTTATTCAGGTAAAGAGCTGAGATTAGGAACACACTCTTAAAGGGAGTGCTCCTAATCACGTTTGTTACCTCTATAAAAGACACCTGTCCACAGAAGCAATCAATCAATCAGATTCCAAACTCTCCATCATGGCCAAGACCAAAGAGCTGTCCAAGGATGTCAGGGACAAGATTGTAGACCTACACAAGGCTGGAATGGGCTATAAGACCATCGCCAAGCTGCTTGGTGAGAAGGTGACAACAGTTGGTGTGATTATCAGCAAATTGAAGAAACACTAAAGAACTGTCAATCTCCCTCGGTCTGGGGCTCCATGCAAGATCTCACCTTGTGGAGTTGCAATGATCATGAGAACGGTGAGGAATCAGTCCATAACTACACAGGAGGATCTTGTCAATGACCTCAAGGTAGCTGGGAACATAGGCACCAAGAAAACAATCACACTACGCCGTGAAGGACTGACATCCTGCAGCGCAAGGTCCCCCTGCTCAAGAAAGCACATGTACAAGCCCATCTGAAGTTTGCCAGTGAACATCTGAATGATTCAGAGGAGAACTGGGTAAAATTGTTGTGGTCAGATGAGACCAAAATCGAGCTCTTTGGCATCAACTCAACTCGCCGTATTAGGAGGAGGAATGACCTCCCAAAACATCATCCCCACTGTCAAACATGGAGGTGGAAACATTATGCTTTGGGGGTGTTTTTCTTCTAAAGGGCAGAGGACAACTTTACCGCATCAAAAGGGACGATGGACGGAGCCATGTACCATCAAATCTTAGGGGAGAACCTCCTTCGCTGAGCCAGGGCATTGAAAATGGGTTGTGGATAGGTATTTCAGCATGACAATGACCAAAAACACACGGCCAAGGCAACAAATGAATAGCTCAAGAAGAAGCACTTTAAGGTCCTGGAGTGGCCAAGCCAGTCTCCTTAATCCCATAGAAAATCTGTGGAGGGAGCTGAAGGTTCAAGTTGCCAAACGTCAGCCTCGAAACCTTAATGATTTGGAGATCTGCAAAGAGAAGAATGACGACATCCCTCCTGAGATTTGTGCAAACCTGGTGGCCAACTACAAAAAACATCTGACCTCTGTGATTGCCAACAATGGTTCTGCCACGAAGTACTAAGTCATGTTTTGCCGAGGGGGTTTACTACTTATTTCACTCATTGAAATGCAAATCAATCGATCTCTCAAAGAGACAGGACCATACAGCTCGTTTCAGAGATGCTGAAATGAGGCGCTATGTGAAGGGCCAGTGAAAAAATCTGAATCATGCAAAGCTGCCACAGAGGAGTCACATAACGACAATAACTAGGGCTGGAAATGCAGTATAATAAGTCTCCTTTCACTGTCGGCAACACTAAAGTGGATAACAGCATGTTTTGTGCAAATGATTTTATTCGCACATAGCAGACAGAAGACAGGAAAAGTGAAGGTGTCCTTTCCAGCTGTGGGCAGACGTCGGCTACCTAACACACCTGTAGCTCTCAGCCAGAATCCACTTTTAAATTTAGTCCACACTTGTAAACGTTATACAAAATAAAAAGGACCCAACCAGACATCTTTTTTGCATGCCTACCAACATAAAGGTGCCGGCCCACCCATCAGGGTGCAAGAAAGCGCAAAGGGAACATGGATGCACTCTGTTGAGGTCTGGTTAGGGACTGAACAAAAATGATTGGGGTAAGGCAGGAGGGTTGAATCTTATATTTCACTTTTTAAAAAAGCTAAGCCCTCCGCACTGCTATTGATAATTTTTTAGGTGCTGTGCAAGAATAAAGATATCCTAACTAAAGGGCTACACTTGAATTTTATTACAGACCACTTTATAACACATTTATCTTTAAAAAAAAAAAAAAATGCCAAAAATTGCCATGAGACTAAATAAATTTGGGGCGAGTAAAATTAAATGACCCTCCCTGCTCTCCTAAAAAAAGTCGGACAACTCCAAAGGAAAAAATATACACAACTCTTCCCCTTTCCTGACCTCCCCCTAATAATTTTTGTCCGGTCACTGACATAATGTCGAAAAAAAATCTGCTGAATAGGACAGGGGTGAAATAGCATTTTGCAAGGCTTCCATATAATATTTTAAATTAAATTACATTTTTTATGTGGTTGTTGAGCCTATACATCTGCCTTAGAATCAATGCCATGTTTCACAAATATGTGTAACTGTGGTACATACTGTATGTTCAGGCCTGTCAAGCAATCACAACTATGATTATAATGTCAATGAACACCGATGCCCATATGATGTGCTCAGGATAAATAAAGTTATGGGGCTGTTATTTTTTTGTTGCTCTTTTCTGTATTATTAGACAGTATACAAGATAAAATAAATCCTGTTACAGTACATTACAGCTTTGGAAACTCACAGAAAAAGGAAATTTCTTCATCTTTCTCACCAACAACAACAATCACTCTCTCTCACACTCTCTCTCTCTCTCTCTCACACACACACACACACACACACACACACACACACACTTAACCTATCTCCAAGGCAACTACTAGCGCATAACTGTATAATTGTTAATAATAAAACTATGTATTATCCCATAATTTATATTCAGATCACACATCCATGGACAGGCGAGAACAAAATGGGCGGTGGTATATCTGCAAAGTCTTATTAAGAGCAGGGATCCTGTGTTTAGTCGAAGGTGACAGCTTTTCTTAGTGTCTGCACACTCTGTGCAGCTCATTTTGCACTTCAATAGCCCCCTCCCTCCTTCCCTTTTCCCTCTCAGAGCCACCAGAAGCGCACGTAGACAATGAGCATGATGAAAAAGACACCGCCGGCTGCCAGCTTAGCATAGGTGGAGCGGGTATTCAGATACTTGGCGTCGCTCCTGTACTTCTTTGACAGGCTGGACAAGTTGCTGGCCTTGGAGTCTAGCGCTGCAGGCAGGAGAAACCAGAGGCAAAGGGAACGAGAGTTCAAAACAAAAGGGGAGGGCAGAAAAGGGGGGGGGGGGGGGGGGAGTGGAGACACACATGGACAAAAATCAATGAATCTGAAGAGCATCCCGTTTCACTTTTATTATTCAGAAAGACACACTGCATCGGTTTGACATGAAGAGACAACATGAGCTTACCAGAGAGAGCCTCTCCTCTCTGCAGCACCTCCTCTATGTTCGCCACCATGATCCTCTGTACGTCCTGGAGCTCTGTGTTGATGCTGCCCAGATTTCTTCTCGCTCGGCTGTCAATGTACGACTTCTTGGTTTTTTGGATGTAGGTGTCTGGTGCGGGAGCGGCACAAATAATAAAAGCAGTTAAACGCAGCCATGTGAAGGGTTTTAACTGTCAGGTTAGTTATAAAGATGACTGTCAGCTCTTTGGTAGACTGCTACATCTGTGTGTTTGACCATTTCCCAGCTCCGACAGACTTAACAAGTAACATAATAAACTAAAAGGTGAAGATCCACTCAATGAGGAACAGTGTTTGTGAGACACAAGTGACATTGTCTTTCCAAGGATCGTCATTATGATGCGGAATTGAACAGCGATGCGAGAAAAGTGAGTCTGAAGTTAAAAAACTTTAACTTTATGCAATGGAGAGCAATCTTAGCCTGGAGGCTCTGTTGCGATTTGCCAAAAAACTGCCAAAGAGAAAGCGATGCAGTGGAGGGCCAGTGAGCAGTTGCCCACAGCGACAAGCTGACAGTGGCGGAGCCAGTGTTGTATGATTTATAGCGGGCTTTCACCATAAGGAACTTGCTCATACTTATAAAACAGACCAAACACATATTTTAGTGATGCATTGAGCTAAATCAGGCCAACTTTTAGTGCCATTTTTATGTTCCCTAACATTTCACATCCCTTGCTTAGAGTCTGCCCTTTGCCCTTTTGTACTGCTGTATCTGCCTGTACCGCATGAGGCTATGAGGCACTTTAATCATGCTGCATGGGTTTTTAATTATGTGTTTATTATTATAGTATTAGGTCATTTAATTGTTTATATTATAGGGTCTATCCTGAAATGTTCTTTATTCTGTATGCTGCGGGACATGGGAAACGAATTTCCTTCCTTCATGTTTTAACATAGTTGAATGACAATAAACTAAACTGAACTGAGAGGAATTATTATCAGCAGGAGATCAACGTAATGTAGTACACTGATTAAAAATCTGGGAAAAAACAAAGCACTGGTATCTGATTGGGAATTGTTATTGGCATTTACACTGAGTATGATTAGAAAAGGGTACTGAGGGAGAAAAAGTTGGAATAGTGGATACCTGATTTTTATATTTTACCGTAATGAACTGTAATCTATCATCATGTATAGATGTAATGTCATCACAACTATATATATATATATATATATACACACACACACACACACACACACCACATATGAAGGGTCACTCATGCATTTGAAACAAGCAAATTACAAGCAAATACTGCTACAACCACTGACATCAAAACAGCAACATGCTTTAACATTTCAGCACAGAGAGCAGTGAATCAGTTGCCCCTGGCTCTCTTTTCTTCTTACCGAATTCAATGAAAGAGTATGGCCGGGAAACTGTGGGGACCTTCTTTCCATGCTGCTCATGGAACTCTGCCTGCAGGTCTTCTAGGTAAGCAAAGGCCAGCTTCTTAGGAAAGCTGGCCTCACACAGCACAAGGTAGCACACTCCTTTCTCTATACAATAGCTGCAAGAAAGAACATCACGGTTTGAGAAGATCTGACACATGAAGTTGGTATGGTACTGTGCATTCAATGTTAGAAAAATCATGTTTATTTTCATACTCACTGAAATGCCATAGAGCCAGCCTCTAAAGTGCAGCGTGTGGGACTCTGTTCATTGAGTTTCCTAAAGAGCTGCTTAGCTTGACTCTGATACTGCTGAAGGTCCCGACCCAACTGAACAGACAAATAAAAACAGCAAAAAAACCCACCACCAGTCACTACATGATCTCCCTCTCATCTCACACAGTAAATATGGTGTTTGACCAGGGCAAGACATTGATGTTTGTTCACAAGCTAATTTCACTATGTTACCACTGGAAGAGACATAAATGATACAACCTGAGTGTGGTTACTTGCTTAAGTGTTTGGCAAGACAAAAATAGCAACCATCTAAAGCCCAAATTTCACACTATTTTCTTTAACAGTGTCAATGTCTTGCCCTTCAAAGTGTGCTGAATATAAATAGTTGGCATAAAAGACTACAGACAGACTAAGCAGTGTGATGCTACATCTGAGTCTGAAGGCAATGAAGTTGTTAGTGGTAAACTGGTGGGTGGTATTCATTTCTTGGGTGTTGGTGACTGTAGCAAATGACAGATTCATTACAGAAACACAGTAGCATCACAGAGACATGTATGACGAAGCACAGAGCAGAGACACAAACCTTTTCACTTCCCTTTTTGAAAGCAAACAAGAGAGTGAGGGAAATATGTTAGACTCCTGGCAAGTCATGCTCAATATCACATAATGAAGCAACTTCACATTTCAACATGTTTTTGCATATGTTACGGTTATGTTTGTGTTATTTCTAAATCCAGTAACCACTAGGAAAACCCTAACATTTGTGACGTCAGATGTGGAATAAGTGAATAAGGAGGTGACTTTGGAGTCATGAAATAGAAACCTGGGTTGTCTCATCAAAACAAATCTTACAATCAAAACTGCTAACAGAAATATAACAATAAAATGTCAATCATCATCAGTAAATGTTCAACAGCATCTTTGCCAACATAAAAATGAGATACTGGAGTTTTGAGGTGAATATCAAAAACCATTCGGCCACTAAGACAGTCTGATATTTGAGAGTTAAAAAAAACCATTAACAATACATCAGCTGGTTTCATTTTTTTTTTTTTTTAACATGAACACATAACATAAGCAAACATTTTTGACGAGATAACCCCCTTAATTTGGTTACTAGCAAGATATTTATTGAGCAGAACATTTTATGGTTGAAAAATACAAACACATCTTTGACCTGTCTGTATAACTTATTTCTTGTTACTTGTCGGCAGCATGCAAAATTAACTATTTTGTCCACCGGCTAAATGGCTACTGAATGTCCAAAGTGTACCAGCCACTCAACAGATTGTTTTGGGCTGGTGAGTGAAGTACATATCTACCAGCCATTTGCATGTTTTACCAGCATTTGGCTGCTGGCTGGGGCTAATTTTGAACCTTGCTTGTTGGCCAACATACATATATACAGATACATATATGACATGTTGAAATCAGAAGAAAACATATTGGTCAGGCTCTAATCTGGTAAAAAAAAAAAAAAAAAAGTCAAACAGTGCCTTTAATCAGGAATCATTGACTTAATTCTGCAATCAATGCTGATAAAGAGCATAATACGCTGCCCTCTTTGATTTTGGCACATCACGTAGACATGTCTGACTGTGTAATGCACATTTATTGGACTGTGTCTTGAGTCTATAGCTGCAGCAGACCACCAAACTTCACAAACCCTACTGGTGAAGTTGTGCAGTGCTGAAATTAATTGGGACAGGATCTGAATAAGGTCAGGGTTTAAACACAGGGAGCCTCTGAGGAGCCAGTCGTTTGCTTTAGGTAAATAACAGGCGGGTTTTGTGTTACAGGTAGACAGGCCTACAGCAGCTAGTTAACGTGTCACTAAAGCGTTTGTACTACTAAACGCATTTACAGCAGAAGCAAGTGGCGATAACAGACAGCTAGCAACCACAGGGACAAAAAAGCTTAAAATTAACCTGCTCGTCCTCCTGCATTGAGGCGGCCAGCGGCAGTCCGTCAGCCAGCCGAGCGATCATCGTCAGCAGCACCATCTTCCTCAGTGTCTGGGTGTTTCTCTGCTGCCCGCTAAAGTCTTACAGGTAGCTGGTACCAGCGTTTGACAGGCTGTAAACTGACAACACCTCAGTGCTGATGCGCTGAGCTGGCCGGAAACGCTACAGCTTTGTGTGTCACAGCTAAAGAAGTCCGTCCTCTTGTTATGACGAACAACAAACACAGTTCCGTAACACTTCGACTGCATCCTTTATTTAACCAGTGTATTATTACTATCCTCCTCACAGCTCATGTGGATTTATTATGACTACATGGGCACTATTAGGCTCCTAGACGTAAAATAAATAAATAAATAATTCATTAATAAGTCACTACATCTTATCTCATGTGTCCATCCACTGGGGAAGACCGTAAGAGGCGACTGAAAGCACCAGGAAAAAAGATAATAAGTAGAACTTTAATCAAGATAATTTAATTCGGATAATTAATTGAAAATAATAAACAATGACTTGACTTTAGTTAAACAAAATACGAATGTACTATATGTATCTTATGTAAAGAGTTATACATATATCCTAAAATCATTTACAAAATGTTTATTTGATAACGGTAAAAATTACAATGAGTCTGGGTTTTTGGATCCATTATTTCTGCAAATATGTGAATATGTTTATGTAAATATTTGACAGAAAATTTGCCCTGTCTCGTAAAGAAAGTATGACAATGACAAGTTAAGGCCATTTTGTAAAGCCTTGATATGAAAGTGATAGTAACATAATTAGCTTCTCAAGGAAGGACATTATGCCATGTCCACAAGACATACTTACCAAATTCTTACTTAGGACACGTTTCCATTTCCTTTCAGCTTACTGTGCAGAATGATATCACTCTTGCTTCAGTAATCATTTATTGTCCAACCAAAGATCAGTATGACTCAGTTTATCTAGTAGTTGTAGATGTGAAACTGCAGCAGAGGGCAGCATTGTGCACTTTTAAGAGAGATAAGCGTTCTCTACAATATGAAGAAAATGACTCCCCTCATCCCCTTTCCTTATGGTATTGAATCTATTTTATTTAAACAGATTGTGTTCTAGCAGTTATTTGAGAAAACTGCTGTTGAACTAATTGGACATTGGACAAACATTGCATTACCTCTGTCACAAATGTGCAATATTACAGACAAAGCAGCATTTTGTCATCTCGTGAAAAGAGGAGGCGAGTTCAAGGCATTGCTCAGGATTTATCATTTAGGTTTCCAGTGATGCACTGATAATCCTATATTTTAAAACAACTGCTTTTGAAAAATCAGATGGAGTAAGGAGAAATAATCTGAGCTCTAGGCACATAGGCCAGCGAGAAACATCTCGAGGTTCCAATAAACATTACAGCATCTGTTGAAAACAGTCAGATTAGAGCAGCCTGATCATTCACTAGGCTACACAGTAGACTAGGCCTACCACTTTTTTTGCGGTGCGCCTTTTGCCTGTAAACAAGAGATCATTACAGCCCTCAGCCTGATGAGGTAAGAGTTTCATCATCAGTCCCTTTACAAAATGACACACTATCTCATATAGTCCCAATTACAGCTGTCATGTCCTTCAAGATGGCATGCTGAGATCGATTTCCGGGTCACACGATCGAGGAGTCGAGGAGACAGAAATGGCGAGATGGCCAATGGCGTGAGCTAACAGGAATGAGATAAAATACCAAAAGTGTGTATCCCTCCATAAGATATTTAATAAAAATCCAGTCTTTAAAGTAAAAAGTTTTCACAATAGGCTATAGAAGTTTCACACCATCCGTCACTATATAATCAGTATTTACTCAATCAGGGTGCAATGCATGGCATAGTGATTATATTATCCTCTTACTGATAGGTCATGACCAAGTAGCCATTTGTGATCCAATCAAATCCTTAATAATAATACTGCCACGATTGTTCCTCTATAAGAACCGCACTTTCAGGATATGAGGCGTGAAGGAAGTGTGTCTGAAGAGAGCTACGAGGACACCAGAACAATGTGAACAGAAAGTGGAACAAGATTTAGACATCCTCTAACTGCCCCCCTGCCCCCAACAACCCAGAGTCCTTGTGGGGATAATCAAAGTGCCACCCTATATCATCTTTTCTCTCTGCAGGCTCCATCTGTTAACATCACACCAGCTGCAGGTTTATATGAGCAGGGCAGGGAGTCAAGTTCAGTCACAATAAGGCAACTGAAACTCAACTGAGGACGGCCAGGTGACTCCCTCATTGCAAACTACTCACATATTTACATGCAAGTGAAAACACATTTTGTTGGAATTGATGCTTTCCTAATAGGAAAGGACACTAACTTTTAACTGTCTTCAACCGCACAGACTAAACATTGGCTAATTGTTATAGAAAGCACTGACAAAATGACAATAAAGAGCACTGTAATGACCTTTACTTGACCCAATGAACTCACTGCACCCTGATTCAGAGTATACTAAACACATACACACACAGTCCTCACAGAGGACTACTGCAGTTCACAACAACAGGCAGCCTGAGGTGAAGGCAGTTGTAGAACATGCACAGGCTACTCGCTGCACTTGTTTGGAATCCAAATTTTATATTAGAAAACTAATGACTCATGACAAAACATGACTTGAACATACATTGTGTAAAATAACTTAACTGTAGAAGCCATAAGTGGTGGCTAAGTCTGTTTTTATGGGTGGCATAGCTTTTCACAAAGGTGAGGTTTGTGTAGCACTTTGTCTTTCTCATATCTGTTTCTGTAAATTCACTGCCTTTTTGTCAAGAGTAGAATAGAGAAGATGATGTGTTAAAAGCAAACACATTCCCAGGCTCACAAAGTTACAAATGCCAATTTATGGAAGGAATTTCAATGGAGAATAAGTCAAGGGCAACTGGACTTAGTTGAAGATACTGGAAGACGTTTCACCCCTCATCCCCATCCCATCCTTCTCAACTGCTTTATTACAGATCCTTCTGGTCGCTGCAAAGAAAACAATTACAATAAAATGGCTTAAAAAGGAGTCGCCAACACAAGCTGAGTGGTTAACAATATTAAGAGCTATTTACAATATGGAAAAAATTACATACTCATTGAGGTTACAGAGGGATCTTTTCACTGAAAGGTGGGCACCATTGATGACAGCGATGGAAGACCATTAGAACTGAATCAGGTTAGAGCTACTAGGCGACCTTGTATACGACCCATGTTTGTTTTTATTTTTTTTCCTAAATTGATGTTTGTTTGGTTTGTTTTGTTTGCACATTCCATCTTCATGGTTGTTATTTTTATTTTTTCTAGTCTAATCTAGATTTTACTGTATGTGTAAGAAGGTGTGAATGTTGAGATCCCTTGTACAAGATACTGACACTAAACTGAGTAAAATGCTGTAAAGGGAGATTTGAAAGATGTTCAGAATAAAAAATAAGTGATAAATAAAAAAAAGAAAAAGCAAACACATTGGTGGAACCTGAGCTACCAAACCTCGTAATTAGAGGTTTGCTTGGAACAACAGCAGATACATGCAGGTTTGAAGTGGACTCATCTACCATCGAAAGGCCTTTTAATTTAGTTTAAAAAAAGAAGACACACAATTTAATCCAGGTTTAAATGAATTCACTAGTTGGTGGATCCATCCACTGATAATGTTTGTCTATAATTCGATGGCAATCTGCAAACTCTTTAGCAACCAGAAAATGTAACCTACAAAATAAATCTACAACAGATATACAATTTAATTATCAGCTACTACAAATAATAAAACAAGAATTGCAAACTGTAGTCTGTGTGGCCTCATACACTCATGCATACACTCAACGTACACACACAGAGCACTTCATGTTTGTGCAAGTCTTTGAGATAATCTGGCCTCATGAGTTCCAAATTCTTCAGGAACAAAACATCCAAGAGAAATTACATCACCGTGAACCAACAACAGTTGGCTCAGCAGATTTATTGGTAAGAAATCAGTGACTGTGTTACAATATAAAAAGCAAGGGTTCTTTGTCCCATAATATATTTCCCTTTAAATTCCATCAGAAAGTGTACATTTAATAACAGCTTATGCATTTTAACTCATAACAAGGTTTATTGTTTTTGGAGTGTAAGAAACGCTTTTATCGATGCCCCCTCTGCCTGCTGTCCTCCCTCTGGTAGAGTCAGCCCAAGGTCTGGGTTTTTCCATAACTGTGATTTTCAAGATAGAAAAAAAATGGCAGGATGAAGGATGAAGGCAAAACATTCAAACAAACCAGAACCATAAAAACAGTGATGAAGCTATGATGCTTTTCACTGTGATCATTTTAATTGTCTATGAATGTCATACTACGTGACTTTAAAAGGCTTAAGTTCCTAAAATGAGATTCTGTCTATTCTGTCTTCCACAGAACAGGATAATAAGATAATACTGCTGTTATGTTACAGTCTCTAAAAGTAGCAAAAACTAAAGTGTCACATTCCCCTAGGCAATGGAAGTTAGTCGTTCCCAAATTTATTTTATAAAATGATAAACATTGATATTAAAATATTTGTCAACATATTAGATATTTCCCCAGACACACAAACAATATGTCAGCTGAAAATGCCCATAAAAATATTCAAGTTTATTGAGTAAACACAATTTATGCTTTTTAATCTCTAATGTAGTGGTAGGTCCCAGGCCACTTAAATACAAAGCAAGCCTTTTGTTTGACATTGAAATGTATTTTTAGGGGTAAGGCTTGAGGCAAAGTGTAAACGGCTGATTAAAAAAATGCTAGTTTAGTACTATAATGATAAACACAGTGAACTGGATCCATCATAATCCCCATGTGTCCGAAGCATTAGTAACAGTAATTAGGTGAGCACTAAATGTTGGGCTGTTGAGGGATAATCAGGATTCAACAACCCAGTGTGAACATATCAATTCAGTTCAGGAAAAATGCTGTGATATTTCTGTGCGATGGACACAGCGTGAGCATGAGGACACGGCATCAAGGGGAGCCGAGGGGGCCCCAGACACAAGCCTGACACCTCAATCATCAGCTGCTTGTTCACTCCCAGATCAAAGCCTGTCAATAACAACAAAGCAGATTCAGAGGCAGAGCAAGACTGCCATAGTACAAGAGCATTTATTTATCTTACATATAATCTGGTAGAAAAGCATCATGACGCAGCCGTCACTCACCAATTTTCTTGGCATAACCGAGAAGCTCTTGCATCTTGAACTGCTCATGGAAATTAGACAAAGATGTCAGAAGCCAATATTGACGCATTAATATCAAAGACAAGTTAGAAATGGGGAGATGGACAGTACCTGTATTGTCCTGGCTTGGACAATGTCGCCTTTCTCAAATGCTGAAATGAGCTCGTTGACATGACGTGCTACGTAATTATATGTGCTGCGGGCAGAAATGTATAACTGAAATGTAAATAACTGTTTAGCAGAGAGAATGAAAGAAGAAAGACAATATGCAGGATCACACACTGACCTGCCAACTGCCCCATGGGCTCCCATAGCCAGAGCTGCAAGCAGTTGCTATAGCAAAATGAAAGAAAGTTTATTTTAGGCTCTATTGTTGAGGTCACAAAACATCATCATTATTACAATACAAGCAACTATATCAGAAAACAGATTGAACAGACTGAGAGGGAGAAAAAGCTGACCTCGTCCATGCCGTAGAGGACTGACCAGTGAGACTGGCTGTAGCTGACACACTGGCCAAAGTCCATCAGGTCGCTCCCAGAGAACTTCACACCTCTGAAGGAGGGGATACGTTTCTCAATATCTTCCAACACATCTCTCGCCAGCACTGAAGAAAAGTAAAGAAAAAAGGCCATCTCACACACAGTTTCAGTACAGATGATCTGACATTCAACATGCTGTTACCATGGTTAGGGATGCAGTGTCAATGAACTCCTTTAAGTCATTTCTTGAGTTATTTTCCTTTCAACTGTAATTTAATTCCTTGGTGTCTATCTGTTTCAACAGTTTTTCTTGTTTTTATCCATTTTCGTTTGAAACCTGATGGTTTTACAACTGTGTGTTTTCTTTTTCTGTCCTTGTGAAATACTTTGTAACATGGATTTTGAAAAGTGCTCTCGGGTGGAGCTGGACTCTGTGTCAAAGAGGAGGACGATGTCCAAACTTCATGTCATTTTGGCCAATGTCTCCCACCCACTCCATGACATACTGTTCAAACACAGGAGTACTTTCAGTGCAGGACTCATCCCCCCCAAAATGCACCACAGGAAGTCATTCCTCCCCGTGGTCATCAAACTCTTCAACTCATCCTGCAGAATGTCAGAAACTCAGCTCTTATGCCTTGATGTACAAGCAAGTATCTGTAACAAAGAATTTCCCCTCGAGGATCACTGAACTACTTCTGATTCTGAAATAAAGATTATTGTTGTCATTTCTAAATGGCATGCAATGCAATCATCAGTGGCACTAACCATTAACACCGGTGACAGCTGGAATATGATAGTAATAGAAGGGCAGAGTTGGGGCAACTGAAGCCACTACCTCAAGGAACGACCTCAACACATCTGCGGCAGGATGAGAGGGAAAGAAATGTGAAAAATGTAATATGACAGCAATATGTAAATAAAATAAATATAATGTAATATTACAATAATAATACAACATTTTGGTTTGGTTTTAAGCTTGACATGAACAGGACTGACATTTGAATGAAATGTGTAAGCCGATGTGAGGTGGCACACATTTTCAGTGTGCCCCTAACTCTTATTTAAACTAATGAAACATGTAAATACATTTTGAACCCTGCGTACCTGCAGTGTCGGGCTTAAAGAAGGAGGGAGCAATGACTGCTATCCCATCAGCCCCAATCTGTGCTGCATGGCGAGCCTGGAGAGAAGATGAACATTGTGACGAAAGACAATAAAAACAAAAGGCAATAAAGGAATGGTTTAAAGGAATACACGAGAAGATTGATACCACTCTCATATGTGACCATTAAATATGAGGCTACCGCCAGCAGTCTGTTAGCTTAGCTAACCTGGAAATAAGGGGAAACAGCTAGTCTGGCTCTTTTGAAAGGTAACACAGTCTGCCTCCCAGCACCTCTAAAGCTCACTAATAAATATGTTATACAGGGGTGGGGGATACATGCCAGACTAATTCTTGACAGGAAGCAGTAACTATTCCAGTACATAACTGCTCTTAAAATAGCAAATTTCCCCAAATTGTCTATTTCCGGGACACCCAAGTGCCAGATCCTCTGAATAAAATGCAGTGGAGCTACACAACATATTTGGGTTTTCTGTTGTTTTCTGCTGTTGGTGTCCTCTGTTGTCTTGACAGTTCTATCGCTCCTAATGTCTCCACTTGCAAATACTAAAAGAAAAGCCATGCTGAAAATCACACACAGTGGATGAGGCAAGCAGAGTGAAATTGCACCCACCATAGAAACAAATGAAAACACACAAACCTCCAGACACACCAGTCTGGAGGTAACTTAGGATAGACTTATTTAAAACCGTGAAACATTTCCTGAAACATAAACCAGATTGACTGCAGCACACCTTGTTTATTTAAGTGGTGATCAAACGTGTTGAAATGTTAAAACAATAAAAAGGCAGCAACTCACCAGTTCCTGAGAATCTTTAAGACTCATGCAGCCGACTTGCACAACCACCTGATCCATTCTGTGGAGATGCGCACACAAAAGAAATGATCGCTCCTGCAATTTGACTCAACATATGGAAAAATCTTCAAACCACAAATGCAAGATGACTTACTTGCCCTTGGCTTTCTGACACCACTCCTCTGCCAGGATCTTCCTCTCTGCAACACTGAGAGACATGCTCTCTCCGGTGGTGCCATTCACTGCAAGCAATTAAAGTCTTATTTAAGTCTTTTATTTCTTTTAAATTGAAGAAACCTCTGGTGGGGGCCATTCATAGAGGGGTCCAACATTATATCTAACATTATGTGCCAGGACAAAACAATGTCCATGGGTAATGAGTGGTAATGCAGACAATGAGAGTGAGAAAGAATATAAAAACATGGTCACACAGATAGCTCCAGGAAACAATGGAAATGCAGCGTTAACACTGGGAGTGGTTTAGCACAAACTGCAATGATTCATTTGGTTTAGAGGAAACAGGAAGGATAGAAAACGCTGACTAGCCTTGATCAATGCAGAAAAGAAAAAAGAAAAACTTTTACCTTATCTAAGTTTTCTGTGCGTCTGTTCTAAGGACAGTTGTTAATGTGTGTAAGAGGTTGATACTAAGCAAAGCTTGAGACAAAACAATATATTCCCTCTTTTGCCAGAAAGGTCAGATAAAACTGTGTTAACTGAAGAGCAATACAATAACTAGAGGACAATTCAGGACAGTAAATATCGTGTCAAGGTTTTTCCTTATCCAGAAAAATTATATGAAACTGGTACAGTATGACGCAATATTTTTCATTAACAGCTAAACTGAGTTTGGCATCAACACACTAAACTCAACATTCACCATATTTAGGACAGTATTTAGTATGTGCTGTCTCTTTTGAGTAGGGTTGGAACGAGCACTCGATTAATCAATCGACAGAAAATCATTTTAGGTATTATTTGCTGCTCAAATGTGAGATTTTCAGGCTTTTCTTTGTCATAAATGATGGCAAACTTAATATTGTTAAGTTTTTGGACAAAACAAGACATGAGAGGACGTCACCTTGGGCTCTAGCATAAGGGACATTTTATAGAATAATTAAGAAAACAATCAGTGGATTAATTGCGAATTAAAGCAATCCTTAGTTGCAGGCCTAGTTTTTATTATTATTTATTTTGTTACAAAAAAAGGTAATGCATTCACTATGTTTGTCAGGCCTCAAGAATACATTGTGTTTTGGTGAGTGACATGAAAACATAACTTCCCAAAGCACCTTTAATTGGGATTATGGAGCAATAATCTCATTGAGTTAGCATTAGGGTGCATTACTATTTTTTAAATTATATAATTTTATTAAAATCGTAGGTGGTGGAATTGAAGGTAGACTTTTCTTTTAATGTAGAAACAATTTCAATAAAAAAAAAAAAAGAAAAAAAAAAAAAAAAAAAGCGAAAGCGAAAGCGTAAAAAGTAATCTAAAACAAACAACTACCTGACTAAGGTGTAGTATTCCAGTGTATCACCAACCCTACCTGAGTACATGTCACAGCAACTTCTTCACCAGTCAGGAATTTTAATGGTGTTAACAGAGGAGCAACACATTAACTGTTTTTACAAACCAAAAAGGTAAACATGCAATAGCAATGTTGATTCAGGCAGGAACACAGACAATGACTAAATATTAAAAGGAGAATCCACCAACTTACCAAATATGCTATTTACACCTTGCTTCTCTTTCAAGTAGTCAATATAAGGTCCAATCTCTGATAGGTTGATTTCACTGTTTTGGGAAAATGTGAAAAAATATAGGCCTACACATTTGGCAAAAGACATACCAAACGTGCTAAAGGCCCTAGTATTCCAGGTCTACAAAATGCCCACACTCATTCCTCACTCTTAACGTTTTACAGTGGAATGTATCATGCACACTCACACACCAGATGCTGGGGGAAAAATGCAGACAAAGGAAAGCCGTTTCTAGAGGATACTTACCCCTGTAAGGTGAATGGAGTGAAAGTAGCTGCAACCAGTCCTGTCAGCTTTTTATCAACAGCAGGAGCCATGACTGACATAACTACCTGACATACATACAGACATGTTAGGCATGTAAGAGAGAAACAAAGGGAAATATAGGAAGAGCACAGTAACGGGTACGAAAGAAAGAAGAAAAGGTTGTAAGCCCAGTGATAACTTTTAGCGTCACACTATCTTATTGAAAGCCAAACTTACAGAAATACTGCATTAGGCACTTACATGACACGTGATATGTAACGTTAAATTATATTAAGACAAACATTGAGGTTACAGCGATGTACGTATGAAGAGGAAATTAATACCGTCTACTTTTAAATGCATCCAGTCAGCTCCAGCATACCTGTAAGAGCTTTTCCTTCTGTGCGTTGTTGACATCTAACGTTACAGTAAGTTAGGCTATTTAATAACCGAAGAAGATAGACTCTACTAATCAGGCTATAACTAGTTTTCTGGGACCTTAGTCAGGGATTTGTTGATATACATGTCATGTGACGCCGCAAAGCTTCAATGGAAATGTAGTTAATTAATGAAAATCACGGAAATAAACGTGGGTCTTCCTCCACTGATGAATTAGAAAGTATCCAGCTTACCTTTAAGCACGTATGCGTATTTCCAATAACTTCAAATAAAATTATTTAGAGGCTTGATTTTAAAATACATCCATGCTAATACCCAATTAGGAGAAAGTGGCCTTTTGCCGAGGGCATATATATTATGCTCGATTAATGTTATGTGTATGTCGAACAAGCTACTACTAATAGTAAAAGCGTTGCATTTAAATTAAGAATAGAGGGAGTCCACCACACCATGTCTTCATCATTGTTTTATTATTTAATAGTTGTTTAAAATATAATATACACTTAGTTATTGTTAATATGAAATATTAGCCAATATTTGGTTATTGCAGTACTCACAAAAGTAAGCGCCAGAAGCTATGAGACATAATTTTACGAGATTTTAAGATCAGCACCAAAAGGCAACACCAGCAACACGAATGAAAATAGTCAGAACCAATCAGAGCAGAGCTTTGTGTCAAGCACTGCCCCCTACTCTGCCTCTGATTGGCTAACCCTAAACCTAACCCCACCCTTACCCTTGAGCAGGGACGTTCAGCGCTGACAAAACGTTGCAAAACGTTTTTTTCAACGGAAACGGTGGTGCTTGAACACCCTGCTGTGTATGCAAGCGCACTGCATTTTCTTGTCTTTGACAGTATATTACTGGACGAAGCCACTCCGCTGATTTAAATGGAGAGGAGTGAAGCAAGTTTTGGACCAATAAAATACTACTACAGGGCTACTTCCTGTTGGCACCAGCGTCTACTGCGCATGATCACGCAGCATAACCGTGTTTTAATGACATAGAACAACGGCAGAAACACCGCAATTCTGGTAGCTGCACCAACAAAAAGTTTCATGGCTCAGTGTGTTTGTCTGACTAAGATCGTCACTGATTAATCAGCCCACCTACGAGGCTCACCTGTGAAACACCAACGCAGCGTCACTGATGGCCGAATAGTTTTTTTTAGATTGCTGAGAGTTTATAATCTATGCAATACGGTTACATCTCTCATGTGCGACGGGGTGTCATCATAGGATTTTTACGTAATTTTTGAGCCTACATGGATCCCCTCCATGCAGGCTTTGGTCGGCTTCACTGTCCGATCTCTGCCTTACCCCCTTGTTTGTAACACCGTTGTGTTTACAAGCTTGTGGCAGCTGATTGGATAACACCTAAGACAGGGCCACCAAACGGGAGAAAACATATGTCGTTGCAGAACGTTGCAAGGAAACATGTCGTTCAATTAGAAAACGTTGCAAACCGGTGCAAAACGTTTTGCGATTGAACTCGCCCCAGTTAAATAAGATAGCGGAGGCAACGAGTGCTAACCAATCAGAAGCAGAGTTGTTGAAACCGGATGGGGAAAAAAATAACGCATCGGAAAGGAAGTGCTTTCGTTTTTTGTTATCCTAAATTGGACTTTCAGGCAATGCCTCCACCTTTTAAAGCCATTAAATAACTGTGTAGGCTTAGATTAAGGTTATATATGCTTTGTAGCAAGATACGACCCGTGTTTAGACGTACGTCTGCAAATGCCAGAGAGATTCGTTTGTTAGCATGCGAGAAAACACTACCTGACAAGCAAAACTCAGGGTATAACTATAAGTCATTCCAGGAAGCGGATGTTGTTGACGTTTACATCGCAACGGCTTCCGGTTGTGAAGGCTGGCTAGCTCGGCGAAACAACAGCGTACGGCGAAATTATTTACTTTACAACCCAAAGGACAGAAAAGATAGCCCGCTCAGGGCCGCTGCTCAACAATGGACGCCGTTTTAGTCGACTTGTCATGTAGCGTAATTATCGGCCTGCCCGTTGTCACCAGTTTGGCTAGTTAGCACCGCCGGCTAACTGGCTAATTAAACCCTGCCAAGTGTTGGGCAGCTTGTCTGACTACTAGCTGACGAGAGAGAACTGTCAAGAGGAGGAAATAATTAACTTATATCTAAAAAGGTTTACAGCCGATACACCAGAGTGATAACAGGAGCAGGTATGAACGGGAGCTTCCAAGGAGTGTAGGTTTGACTTCTGGTTTGTGGATTGTGTGGAGTAACGTAAAGTTAAACGATTTGAGGAGTGGTAATCATAAAAACACAAATGAGACGAAGACTGTTAACCCGGCGTTGCTTACTTTTGTTTACAATGAGTTTTAAATATGACAACGTGTCTTGATACATGAAAAGGCTGGACATTTCTTGATCGACAACATCTTGAACATAACATTATTGTAATTTTCATATTTAGATCGCAGGAGTCATTTGACTTATCGGGGTTTAGGGCAGTGTTAGATAACGTTAGTCTGTTTCATGTTGACGTGTCTCACCTGTGTACAATAGATCCGGGTAGCATCTTGGAAAAGCAAACAGGTGTGGTACACCGATCTGCTCTTAGTGCTCAGAGCTGCTTTGTATTACAACTAATGCGCACTACATCTATCAATTTCACCCAGATATATCTGGTTACTTGAAATAGAAACATTCCTACAATCTATTTGACTGTTTGGGTGTTTGCTGAGAAACGCACATGGAGTGTAAGTGGCTTATCTTAAACAACAAACTAGGATGATTTCATGATGCTTTCTGTACCCGTGGATACCTAGGTGTTACATCAGCAAAAAGTGCTTTTAACATGATCTCAGAGGTATAACATTAATGGGATGGTGTAGGTTAGTGAATTGTAGGTGTTTTTGTTAGTTTGAGCTGTTTGGTTAGGGCAGTGGTAATGACTAGGTATTTGCTCAGTGACTATCTGAGAGCCCAACTGTAGTTGTAGAAACATCGCCCAGTTACCACAATGCCAGCTGTACTGTTGATATTACTGCTTGGGGCATTATGTAGCCATGGACAGGCCATGCCACGGGAGGAGAAGCACCGGTTGAGGTGAGTTGAGAAAAAAACACAGTACCCTCAGAGCATAATATGGGAACAAACATGGTCTCCCCTGACTTGCATGCTGACTGGTGTCTGTGTTTTCCCCTTACCAAAGGAACCAAGTGGTCGAGATGTTTGACCATGCATATCAGAATTATATGGTAAGTTATGTATTTCCACTGGATTCCTTCACAGAAATAGGACTTCAGTTTGTCTTTTTGCTGCAGCCTTGATATTTGGATTTGATTCAGGACGATTTAGCAGCTTATTAGGTGACCAGGACAATCTTTTCCTTTTTGTATCCCTGCCCATACTGGCCCATACTAATGTGGAGTAGAGAATATCTGTTGTAAAATAGGATGTTATATGCTTCTCTGTAATGGTTAATTATGGAACCATAATTACACTTAAATATATTTGGGTGGTTGCATTTTATATAACTTCTAACTGGCTTTTTGCAACTTCTTTCATTTTGGATAACATGAAATTTGATGTACAATTTAAGACAACTAAGATCTAATCTGACTGAGCTGGCCTTCTGTTTAACCTGTGTTTGTTTCTCAGGACCATGCATACCCAGCAGATGAGTTGATGCCACTGACATGCAGAGGAAGAGTACGTGGGCTTGAACCCAGTCGAGGTGACGTAGACGACGCTCTGGGAAAGTGAGTAGCGGACTGCCTTTTTTCCTTGAGATCTAACCTATAAACGGAGAAATGATGACGTGGGTCCACACACATAACCACACCAGAGTACTTGACGGAAGCAGATTGTGCTTACATGCTGAATAAACATCAATATGTTAAATTTTCTTGACACACATTATCGCGAGGAGCAGTCAACATCCCCAGTAAACAGCTTTTCTCTCTCTGATAGGTTCTCTCTGACCCTCATAGACACTCTGGATACTCTGGTGGTGAGTACTGCTTTTATGTATTTTTCATGTTTGGTTGTCTTACAGAAATTGTTTGGGTTATTATTTTGAGGCTGCATTTAAATTAATAGGACAGAACACAGTGGAGGTAGTGATGACATTGGAGTAATGTATTTTTTCTCAGTCCTTAGAATTTAGAAAGAAATGTCAGTGTTGCTAAATATACTTTTATATAGCCTTTTATGCAAATATGTTCATTATGGGAGAAAAGAGTCAATAGCATTTCCTTCAGTGTTGTTTTATCCATCCATCCAAAGATTCACTTTATGGTTTCTTCTATTGACCAGCATTGACTAACAAGTAAAATTGACTATTTAGTAAACAAGCTAAGTAATAGTGTTTGAATTCAAACCCGATTTTCTATTTAGGTTAGAGAGGTTTGGAGTATGAAATTTTGTTTCATATTTATTATCTACCCAAGATCTTCCTCCCTGTGTTGGTTCATTTGGTAAAAAGGTAAAAATAAGCGTTAATGAAATTTCAAGTAAATAGGTAAAAAAATAATTGAAAAACCATATTGGTAATTATCATGATAACGAATAATTTCTTTCAAGTTTAAAGGCTGATTTTAGCTACTTCATGAAAGTTGAAGAAACCAGATGATTAATTGTGGTTTTAAACTATTCTTTATGGTCAGCACATGACAAACACTTGATGTCAAACAGTGGATCACTTCACAAATCTGAGTAGAACATTTAAAGCAATTATGAAAAAAAAAAAAAAAAAATTCAACGTATTAAGTAAAATCTTTTTCAAAATCATAATTGAAAAAATTATGTGATTCAAATGATTTAAATCAAACATTTATTGAAAATAAATAAATAATATATTGCGATAATTATTATTATTGTTTTATTGCCCAACCATGGTATAGGGTAAATTGTTCAGATTATCCTTTTACTTTTGATCTATGTAATTAAGCCAGATTGTCATAATCGAGTATCAATTCTCATTGCCAGCTTTTGAACAAGACAACGGAGTTTGAGGCTGCAGTAAGGAGAGTGCTTTCAGATGTGAGACTGGACAACGACATTGTGGTGTCAGTCTTTGAAACCAACATTCGAGTCCTTGGGTAAGATTGGACTAGACTATCAACACGGTTAACAAATAAATTGTTAACATAGCCAAATTCTACACTTAAAGTGCCCTTTCTGACAGGCAGCAAACAGAACAGCTGTCCAAAAAGAATTTAGTGCTAAGATATCACTGGATTCTGCTGTACTGTGTGTGTGTGTGTGTGTGTGTGTGTGTGTGTGTGTGTGTGTGTGTGTGTGCGCGCAGAGGTCTGTTGGGAGGGCACTCCATGGCTGTGATGCTGAAGGAGGAGGGTCAACACATGCAGTGGTACCAGGATGAGCTCTTGCATATGGCCAAAGACCTTGGCTTCCGACTGCTGCCAGCCTTCAACACCAGCAGTGGCCTGCCTTATCCCAGGGTGAGTCAAACGCACGCAGGCAGAAAATTTAGCCCATTAATACCAGAAACAAGCCACCATGCGCTATAGTTTACAGTTAGTGTATATTTTGTCTTGTCATTGATAGTCCCATATTAGTAAATGTCTGTATTAATTACATTAGATGTATGTACTAAAAGAATAAAGATTTCAGGTTATTCACACAGTTCCAGGGTTGCAATATGACAGATTTGCATCCTCTCAGATCATGTCTACACATTTTCATTTTCTGCTTCACTGCTTTGCTCACAGCTGTCACCGTTTTTGAACGCAGATGCATTTTCATGTCTGAGTAGTTTTCATGCACAATCTCTTGGTAACCAAATGTGAGTCTAATAACAGATTGTGTAATGTTTATTTTGTTCTGCTTGACAGGTGAACTTGAAACATGGTGTCAGGGGTCCCGAGACGAGAACAGGCACAGAAACGGACACCTGTACTGCGTGCGCAGGAACCATCATCCTGGAGTTTGCTGCCTTAAGTCGCTTCACTGGGGACCCTGTGTTTGAGGTATCAGATAACAAGATCTTCCTATGCCTATGTTAATATGTTGTAATTTATAATTAATGGACCTCCTTTTTGTTTTTTAAAGCAAATGCAGGGCTCGACAATAATGATGGCTAGTGGCCAGTAAAAAGTAACATTGGGACTGTTGAACTAGCAACTCACTGGCCCGATCAGGCCAGTGCAAAAACATTAATATTAAAAAAAACGACAACAAAAAATCGCACCGTACCTGAATATTATTATTATTATTAATTAGCACCTGAATATCCTGCAGTTGTTTTGCAGCTCTTGGCACGCACCGTTGGGCAATCAAGACGAGTGGTTGTCAAATGTTATTTGTCTAATCTCCATCAAGCGGCAACCTCTGGGTCTGAAAGTGAAACCATGCAGATGGAACTTAAACCTGTATTCTCAATAACGGCCTGCATAGGGCGAGTCTGCTGGTTGCAAAAAGAAGTCTGGTTCCATTAGAAATAATGGTAAAATGACCCTACTTCTCATCTGAATTATTCCTTCAGTAAACACTTTCATAATGAGTTTATGTTTATATTAACACAACATGGTGTTCATTTAGTAAATTATGGTCCTATTTAGGGGTAAATAGACCAGAAAGCAGAGTTTGCTTTAGGGTGGGACTACCTTGTGATTGACAGGTCGCTACCATGGCGACTATCCGCTGCTCTGTGTACATTTGTTTATATTAAATGGCTGTCAGCAGGAGAGAGAGCATGTCACGTTTGAGTCTGTAAGTAAGTTTTGTTTTAAAAGTAACTTGTTTTGTTAACCTTTTAATTTTTTATCATTTTAACTGTGATTACATTTTTGTTTAGTTTTTTTTTTTATATACAGGATGTATTTAATAAACGATCAAACATGTTAACAGAGTAACATAACTTAAGTCTTTGGTTTTGTTGTAACGCTGATAAATCATGTTTGGAGGGAGGGAAAGTACCCGCGACCCTGTACGCAGGATAAGCGGTTGACGATGGATGGATGGATGGGAGGGAAAGTAAAAATTGTCTTGGGGCCAGTAAGTTTCAAACCCACTGGCCCGGCAGGACCACATTGCCGTAGATTAAACCATTTGAAATATAAACAATCACAACCCTGTTGTGTGATGACACTTGATGTGAAATACAGTCTATCACGTATGTACTCCCTGAGATCTGGTTCAGTGTGCTTTTCCCCCCCTTGTTTTACTTTTTGATCTCTTTTCACCGCTCATATATAGATGATGATATGATAATGATTTTGATGATCAGGAAAATCTGATCACCAAGTTTCATAGCAGCATTACATGTCGACCCAGACCCAGTGATGTTAAATCATAATACAGTTTTATAATGATGATGGATGCCAACATGTGTTGTAAATGGGGAAACTGGGGCTCATTCACCTCACTTCAGAAGAAACAATGTCTTTCCCTCTTTTTAACTGTGAAAACCAAGTGTGACTGCTCATCCTTTCTTTGTGTACTTCTTTGTGTGTGTCTTTGTGAATACACGCAATCATCCGATTACCCTGATGTTCACCAGGAGCGTCAGGGTGTTAAAATATGTTGCCTTGCAACTTTGGCTCTGTTCTGTGTCAAGTGTCCCAGTGAGCCACGATGGTGTGACAACGAGCCACCACGGCCAACCTCAGGACCCTGAAACTAATTTAATTATTTACACCTGTGATTTTAGTACTGTGACGTGTCAAAAGGCCTACTCATGGACTAATGATGCAGGTTAAAATAAGCTAGATAGATGTTTTTGAATGGGAAACCAATATTCTCTTTATTTGCTTGTCAATCAGCTTGCCTCTTGGAAAAAAAAATAAAAATAAATTCAACATTCAGTCGTCTTTATAACATTTATTTAAACGCTGTAGCTGCAGTGGTATAGTGAAAGATTTGAGATTGAGGTATTTGTGCAAAACTTCAGTATTTTTCTCTGTGCTACGATATTATACAATATTAGAGCCTGGGACTGGATCATTTCCTGGCAGCAGTAGACTGCTGATCAACATTGGGCAGCTACTGCAGATTGATTTATTTATTTATTTTTAATTAATCAATAATGCACCCTTCCTCTCTCACACACACACACACACACAGGCCCATGCCCGGAGAGCCCTGGACTTTCTGTGGGAGAAGAGACAGAGAAACAGCAATCTGGTGGGGACCACCATCAACATCCACTCTGGAGAGTGGGTCCGTAGGGGTAAGAGAGGGGGGAGGGAAGACCAGGATGGAGGAGGGAGTGAAAGATGTGTGGATGAAGGAATGAGAGAGGTGGGGGTGGAGGCAGTGGCAGACAGGGAGCTATGAGGAGTGAAGGACATGGGAAAGGGAAATTAAGTATAGGAGTAAAATCTTTCTACAGGAATGAGGGAGGATTTGGTTGAATGGTGGGTGGATGGATGGGGAAGAAATAGAACATTTGTTTATCACCTTATTTCTCTTGTCTTATAAAGTGATGCATGATTGTGTGTCTCCAGACAGTGGAGTGGGAGCGGGAATCGACTCGTACTATGAATACCTGCTAAAGGCTTACATCCTCTTGGGAGATGACCAGTTTCTGCAGCGGTTCAATATTGTGAGGACACACACACTTGTATAGAGTAATTCGATGCCTCTCTGTCTTCATAATAGCATTTTATCACAATGGCATCTCCAACATAAAGCAGTGTTATAGTATTACATTTTTGCATATCATGTTTAGTTCTTCAGCACAGACGTTAATCATAAAATAATGCTTAATTTTAAAATTTTATTTACTCAGATAAAGACTCTTTTCTCACATAGGTCTATTTGTGTATATCACCAAACACACACCACCATGTGCCTCAACATTTCTGTCCATCTTTTCATTTCGCTGTAAAACTGTTATTACATCCTCAACCCTTTCACTTTGTATGTCCCATTTAGCACTATGCATCTATAATGAAATACATTAGCCAGCCTCCACTGCTGCTGGATGTCCATATCCACAAACCTCTTCTTCCTGCTCGCACCTGGATGGACTCACTGCTGGCCTTCTTCCCCGGACTGCAGGTCAGAATTAAATCTTGTGAACTGAAGCTTTTTACTCGTCCTGTCTTTTGCCTTGTGCCGTTACAGTAACGTTTGACACACTGTCCATACTGTACATGTTTCAGGTGTTGAAGGGAGATATCCGTCCTGCCATCGAGACTCATGAGATGTTGTATCAAGTTACTAAGAAACACAACTTCCTCCCAGAGGTAATCTGTCTCTCTGTATCCAACATACTACATCTTTTAACTTCTGGCATTTCAAGGCTCTTCTAATTACAATGCTTGGGATGGTGTGCTAACCCTTTCGTCCTTCTCCTTCTGTCCTCAGGCCTTCACTACTGATTTCAGGGTACACTGGGCGCAACATCCCCTGAGGCCTGAGTTTGCAGAGAGCACCTATTTCCTTTACAAGGTAATTTATCATGGAAGCTTGATATAATGCAGGCGTTCTCTTTTCACTGCCACAGTGCTGAGGTAAATGTCTGTTTATATATACAGTTTATATACAGTTTTTGTTAAATGTTGTTAACTTTGAGCTTAAGTTTCTGACATTTGCATTCTGCGGTCTTGTAAAAATGTATGAAGGAACATACTGTGATAAAAGCGCTGAGATCATGTTGATTTCACTGGAGCCTTCTTCATGGTCGATGTTCTGTCCTCTGTTTTGAACACACTACTGTCCTCTCATCCTCCCAGGCCACAGGAGACCCTTATTACCTGGAAGCAGGTCGCACCATCCTGGACAACCTCAACCGCTTTGCTCGTGTCCCCTGCGGCTTTGCTGCAATGAAGGACGTGCGCACTGGGAGCCACGAGGACAGGTGAGAATATAAAGGCTCAGTACTTGAATTGTTGTATGATAGATGACTAAACAGCAACCAGAAACCATTCAGACATACTGTACATATTTTACCATCAGATTTACATACCTCGACATGATGGTATGCAAAGCATGGTGTTATGTCAAGCATGGTATGGCAAGTGAAAGGAAGGGAAGGTTAAACGGTGGGATAAGTTACATATTATTTAAAGATTATTAGATACAAAACTACATAGATGGACAGTCTTTAGAATGAAATTGTCTAATTGAACAACACTGAATTCACAATGCTAATTGAAACATGGGTTAAAAACAATAGGGGACAAATACACATATAATACAGCCTATAAAACATTAAAGTACCATAGTATGTTTTTGAATATCGTCCAACATATGCCATTCGATACACAGTATGTAGAATTGTGAACAAATACTGGCTGCTAATAAGTTGGTCACTTTGCAATGACCTTAGTGATAAATAAACCAGTAGCCAGTTTATTAGCCCCTGTGCCCCATATTTTACACCTCTTCTGTCAGAATGGACTCGTTCTTCCTCGCTGAGATGTTCAAATACCTCTTCCTGCTGTTTGCTGATGCGGAGGACTTACCATTTGACGTGGAGGACTACGTCTTTACAACCGAGGCACACCTGCTGCCCCTGTCCCTGTCCACAGCTCCTCACTCTTCATCCATCCCCTCAAACAGAACGGTAATCGGCATGATGCCATCATAAATCGTAACTGATGAAAGAGTTTACACATTCCAGTTCCTAACAGACTTTAAAATGCACTCATGATACTTCAGTCAGAGGAGGAGCTGGATGACTCCAACTTTGACTGGACCTGCCCTAACACTCGCCTCCTGTTTCCTGACCCCGCCTTCCCTCGTAACCTGAGGGAACCAATCCGTAGTGCTGTGGACAAGAGCTGCCCCCGTCCTGCTGCTTTCCGGTATGTATACATACATGTTCTAACAGGTTATATACATCTGTGCTTAGGATCTATTTTCTCTACCTACTATATCTCTCCCATGATTTTAACTTCTTGCTCCTCTCCCTCCTTGCAGGGAGCCTGGCATGGGCCGTCCTCCTCTGAGGGCTCAGGACTTCATGGCAAACAACCCTGAACATCTAGAGCTGCTGAGGAGGATGGGAGTCAGTCTCATCCACCTGAAAGATGGCAGGGTACAGCTGGTCCAGCACGCGACACAGGTAAACAGTTTAGCAACAAGGAAAAAACAAATAAAGCACGTAATCCGAGGCTATTCTTTTTCCCAACTCTAAAAATCACTGTGTCTATTCCATCCTGACTTTTCTTCCTCTCCTCTCCCACTCTGGCACGCCCACACCCAGGCGGTGAGTGCAGTAGCAGCAGAGGACGGCGTGCGTTTCATGCAGGAGATGATGGAGCTGTCCAGCCAGCAGCAGAAAGAGCAGCTGCCTCCCAGAGCCATTCAGATTGTCTCACATCCATTCTTTGGCAGGGTTGTGCTGACCGCTGGCCCAGCCCAGTTTGGCACAGACCTGTCCAAAAGTTCCACAGGGGTGAGTGGGTTCTGTAGCTCCTCCAAGCCTTCAGGTTTTGAATGGGCACTTAACTATCCCCCCTGTTTGTTTTTCCTAAGAGAGCCACTCACTTTTCCCCCAGTACTTTTAAGAGAGTGCTTCCTCTCCTTGAATATTTTCATAATTCAAACAGAAGAAAAGATGAGTGCTTGGCTTCAGCACCAGAAGTGAACACGTGGGATTAGACCGCACTGCTGTACACTCCATAATATTAAAATGGGTTCCTTCATTCTTTGCAATAATTCACCTGTCCGGTTTCTTTCCACCTGTGTGCAGGTACGCGGCTTTGTGACTGTGGCTGAACCCTACAGTGGCTGTTCTGAGATCACCAATGCTGAGTATGTCCAGGGCCACATCGCTCTGCTTCAAAGGGGACAGTGTATGTTTGCGGAGAAGGCCCGACACATCCAGAAGGCTGGCGCCATTGGGGGCATAGTCGTTGGTGAGTGCAAGCAGCTAATGACACAAGACGGAAGATGACTAGACTCAATGACTAGATTAGGGCTTGATAAATAGATTAACTTGAAGACAGACAGTCAAATAGGGTCCTGCACATTACATGATGATGACTAAATAATAAAGCAGAACTCAAGTAGGACCTTTCTCAACAGTTGCAAATTGCTTTACAGTACATAAACAGTTTATTACATACTTTTATCTAGACAGGTTTTTTCAATTAATAGTCCACAGAATATCAGAAACTAGTGAAAAACCCCTGTCACAATTTCCCAGAGCCTTAGGTAATGTCATTTTAATTGTTTGTTTAGTTTGAAAAACAGTCTTTAGGAAACGTCTTCATTCGAGAAGCTGGAACCAGCAATTGACATTTTACCTCATTAAAGGAGTTCCATGATTAATCTCTTATCACAGTCATTGTCAGTTAATTTCCTGTCAATCGATCAATCAACTACAAACTCTCACTTATGCCCTTTTGCTCCCTTCCTCTCCTTCCAGACGACAACGAGGGCAGCAGCAGCGACACAGCGCCCCTGTTTCAGATGGCGGGGGACGGCCGCAGCACGGAGGACATCACCATACCTCTCCTCTTCCTCTTCCACAAGGAGGGCAACATCCTATTGGAGGCGTTGAAGGAGTACAGGGAGGTGGAGGTGCTGCTGAGCGACAAAGCCAGAGACCGAGGTGGGACCTTGCTCCCTCATATGCCTCCGTAGTTATCAGAACTCTTCTCTTTGTTCCACTTATCTCTCCTGATGAGATTGATCACATGGGTGTATTCATCTCCCTCCACCGGCTGAGCATCATTATGTGCTCAGCTTCATAAAATAAAGATGAGGTGTAGGGACTCGGGAATTATTTGAAGTCTCAGAGATCGTGACTCATTCTAAAAACCCACCCACCAGCTGTGGTTATAATTTTGGATGGTGGAGGCTTTACACCCTTATCAATATTGCATCCTCATCCCCCCCCCCCCCCCCCCCTCATTTGCCAAATCCCTCTACTCCCTGTGGTGGACTGTAACAGTGCCTTTCCTCTCCTCTTTTTTTTTTGGTTTCTCTTCTTTCTTCATAACCTTCTCCCCTTTGGATGAACAGCAGCCATTTTCAAAGGTAAACCTCTTCCTGGCGCCCTGATTGAGGACAGTAAGTATTATTTTACTTATGTCTGTTAGCCACACTTTTCATCCCTTCCCTTGCTTTCATCTCTGTTTCCCTTCCTTACAGTCATGCTTCCATCTCTCCATCCTGTTCCCTTTACTCTGCCCTCTAACCACAGGCTTCTGTTTGTGTGTGATAGAAAAGCTTAGTGCAGTCACAGTATTGTCATTTGGTATTTTCCCTATCAGAGCTTAGTACATGACAGCTCTTTATAGCTTTTTTTGGCACTGGAGCAAACCAATAATTACTCATGGCAAGGCTGGACGGTGTGCGAGTGTATGACCCAACTTCTGTATTTTCATTTTTTCTAGGAACAAAGATAAACTCATATTTTGTATTTGTTCAAGTTGTCATGATTTTATCTGCGTATATTCAGCTGTGTTTGCCGTCAAACAGGCTATAAAATGAAACCTGAACAGGGACTATTATAAGTAACCTGGCTGTAGGTACAGGATCAGACGCATAACAGCGCACTAGGAGCTGTTAGGGATCTCAGCGTCTAAGACTACTGCAGAGACGCTTGCCAAAACAGACACTTGATCACAAATCCTTTGATTTGTGGCTATTCGGTGTAACCACAAAGCCACCAGGACACAGCAATTACCAGCTAACCTCTGCCTGTCTGTACTTGAATTATAAAGTTACTTCCTGTTGTCCTTGGCAGCAGCCCTCGATGTATTCCCTCGACTATATAATATAAAGCACAGATTTGTTCCTTAACACATTGACAATTTCAGTTAAAGAAGCGGCTACATTTTTAGAAACTATAACAGATCAAATATATTTTTTCATGAACCAAATCTGTGCAAAATTCACAGTTTCAGTTTTGCCAGATTTCTTTTCTCAGTTGACTCTTAGTTTGGTTGTGCAGCTATGTGAGAAAGGCGTTATCCTGTGAGAAACATGACTCACCATCAGCATCGTGCTCTTATAGTTGACAGCCTCTCGATGAAAATGGGTCTATTTTTGACTGAGAATGGCTACCAGGAGGCATGTTGTATAGATTACCGACTGAGGAGGAGGAAAAGAGGTTTTTGTGTGTGTGTGCGTAAACTGCAAATCATCTTGTACAAAGCTGTTAAGTCACACACGCCCCTTCTTTCTTTTCAGGTGTGGATGCGCAAGAAGCGGAGGAAGACTGTTTAACCGAGGCAACAACTCCCACCTCATTTGAACCTATTGGCCAATCCCAAATGAGCACGATGGAGCTAGACGAATTGGCTCCCGATGAGGCGACTCCAACACAGGAGGAAGTCAGTCCTGTAGGTGAAGACGCCAGCCTCGCAGAGGAAGTCAGACCACCGGAAGAGGAAGCTAGTCCTACAGAGGCAGAGTCTGATTCAGCAAAGCCCAAAGAGGAGAGAGACTCTGAGAGGAGAGAGGAGCCTGAGGGCGACACAGACTCAAGCAGCCAGTCAGTGGATGAACTGCTGGCTGATTGGCGGGAAGACTTGGAGGCGTTCCAGCAGATGGAGAAGGATGAGCTCTGATAGTTGTCAGCCCCGTCGTGCCCTTGTGACTGCAGTTTGATTCCCACTGTAGGGAGAAACCTGGAGGGAACACATCTTCACCCGTCATCAGCCTCCATCTGATGAAGTCAAAAGGAAGCTGGGGGGATGTTTCTTCTCTTGCTCTCTGTGGATGGTATCACGTGCCAAGGCGAGCCCACATAGTGTATCTCTGGACCATAAAGGAGTCCTTTTTAGCTTGGTAGATGATGGATGAGAGACCAGGGCTCTTACCTCTTTTTTTTCCTCATACAGTGTCTGTTAATCTGTCATAACAAACCCTAAATGACGACATGGACCAGACTGTATGTAACAGCGTCTGACTTTCCACCGCAAATTACTTCTCACACTGTTCTGTCTATGCATTTCTGACTCTTTTTGCTCAAAGCAACGCTGGTCCAACCACTACTTTCTGACTAATTAATCCATCGACCAATTAATTTTATTTAAATGTGATGATTATTTGTAAAGATACATTTTCATGTCTTCATGGTCTTGGGCCTAATCATATGTGCACACTGATGTGAGTTGAGGACTTAATCCATGTGTGGATCGGTGACATTGAATAAGCTGCAGGATCTTTTTGTGGCTTTACGGTAGACAAACTCAACACACCAAGCTTTATCTCTCTGGGGGATATATGAAGTCATCTGTCAATGTAAATATGTATTTGTTGAGATATTTTGACTGAAACAGTAGAGCGCTGCTTTGCTCAGGTTCTGGTTCACCCCACAAAAAACAACCTCTGGACCACATGGGGTGGAGCAGACACACCCTCAGCAGCTGGTCGGGATGGATTACACACCCTTAAATCGCCATAAGGGGGCGCTATATGATTGTCTGTCATGCTGTAGCTGCTGGCTGATTGGAAGGAGCAGAAATAAATTAACTTGATGAATTTAAATAAAAAATGAGAGGGAAATCGGGAAGCTTGGCTTGATTCTTTTGAATTTATGCAATTATACCACTGAATGTTGGGTTTAGATGTTGGAGTTCATACATGTGGCTGCTTTTACTTCACTATCAAAGGTAACAACAAAACAAAAAGCAGTCCAGTTGCCCTCGATTTTAACCTTCCTTGGATAAGTATGACCTGGATGACTGAGAACCTTTGCAGACATTTTACTTCACTAGGATAGATATGGTTGAAACCAAGGAGTTTCTTTATGATGGTAAAGCTGCTGTTATAGAACATTCAGCATGTGTCATGTTTGTGAATTTTCAGATGAAATGGTCAAAACATGTTGCCTTTCAGGAAGGAATATTTAAGTGAAAGGTGTAAATTTTTATTCTTAAATCGACAGACAACAGTGGACAGACCAAATCAACTGAGTGATCCTCTACTTTGAGAACCACCATATATCGCTGTCAAACTGATTAAAGCAGTGGTAATCAAGTGGAAAGAGAAATTCTAGTATAAAGTAAATATTTGCCCCTGAAATGTAGTAGAGTAGAAATATAGCATAATATTGAAATACTCATGTAAAGCACAAGTAAGTGAGTAAATGTTCTTTACTTCCCACTACTAGATTTAAGTGACACCAAACATGGGGTATTTTTATGGATTTCCTTCAGATACTCCGCTGGATTATAAAACCCCCACCACAAGCTGTCTATGGTATTAACAGCCCCTGGTGGATCACTTTCATTACTGGGACCAAAATAAGACAGCAGAGCTCAGGTCCAGCAGTGATTGCTGAGTCGGTGGGGCACTCCTCAGCAAGATGGCTGCATTGCTGCGCGCAATTGTGGCATCCTGGTGAAATGACGCAAGCTACAGTTTACGTTCAGTCCTCGAGGCTCTGAGCTCTCCAGTCTCCATAGCGCAGATCCCGCCCGACACACAACCGGAAGACTGACCGGCTATCCTCCGGTGGACCGAGCGGAACCGGTTCATAAGAGTAAGTAGAAGCGTGAATTACTTGTTTATCGTCTCCCAGAGGTGTCATTTTTCCTCCAGTGAAAACCACGCTCCTGCTCGTGGTTTCTTTCTCTCTTTACTCCTCTCTTTTGTTGTTGTTTCCTGAGTGAACCGTGATTACCCGGCGCTTTCCTCCCTGCACACTGGGCTTCGCATCTGTCGATGTTCTGTTGTTGGTGGCGGCGGCGGTGCTCTCCGCAACGCAGCTTTAATCTTGCCGTTTTTATTAGCGATAGAACACAAGGGGGGCTTCAAATGCGCCGTGGACATGTCCCTGCTGTGAATGTGTGCTCGCTCGGCTCGGACAGCGTTGGCTCATCGCATTTCAAATTTTCCACACACCGTGGACGTGGTTGGCTGTGCCACCCTGTCTCCGCTGCTCGCTGCCCGCCTGCCGCCGCTGTTAGGCCGTTTGGTGTTGAAAGACACTCGCCAAGAGGGAAGACGGACCCCGGCTGGTGGAGGATACAGGCCGTTAACCTTTGTGGAAATGAAACTATGTGTACGTCCCTCTCTGCCCACAACTCTGCCTTCCCCTGTAGGAAACAAAGCGCGCAGTGTCTCCTTGTAGCGCAGCTGGACACAGCTGTTGAGCCGAGCCAGTACAGCTCGAGCCCCAGGACAGGACAGGACGGAGCTCTGTGGCCGGGCCAGGGGCTGCTGCTGCTGCTGCCGCTGATTTTTTGGGGGGAAACTACTGAAGGCTGGTTGTTGCTGTAGCAATGTGTCTACCTCAGAGGGAAGACAGGAGCTGCTGGGTTATAATAGGAAAGTCACTGCAGCCAGAATTGGATTTGATATACAGACTCATTTGCAGCTCATTAGCTAAAACTTAGCCTGAGTCTACATACCACATTAGCAAAGGGACTTGATAAGTTCCCAACTGCCTTCCTGAATGCTGAGTTTTAAATGTGCCATATGGCCATTAGCTACTGTAGATTTCCCCCATGTGATGAATGCCAGGCCATTACACCCATTTGGTGGCCGTGCAGCACCCTGGTGTGAAAGTAGGTTGATGTGGCCAGTATTACAGAGTATAGCATCCTATCACCAGCAGCTTACATCGGGGTTATATAGGTTACCATCAAGTACCAGCAATCCTATGAGTGGATGTTGCAAGTCCCCCCCCCCCCCCCCCTACTTGATTTATCTGTCAGTTTTCATCTAACCGCCTCCATCTGCCCCCCCCCCGCTCACTTGCTTATCATAGTGTGTGTGTGTGTGTGTGTGTGTGTGTGTGTGTGTGTGACTGTGTATGTGTTTGTCATTGCTCACATATGGCTTTTGGTTCCGCTGGCTAGCAAAAAGAGGCAGAAACACAAGAGTCTCACTCCTCCTCACTCCTCTCTCTTCCTCTGTCTGTTTCTCCGAGGCGAAGGGATCTATTCTTAGTCCTCCTCCCTCTTCCTTGTCCCCTCAATCGTGATCGCCATCTTCTGCCCGTCCGGCCTGTTCACCGTGAGCTGATTGGCAGCAGTTCAGGTGATTGTTTTGGCCCCTGTTTGGGTTATGATGCTACACCTGTGTCGTCACGGTTCGAGGAGGTGGAGGGTTTCCATGGTTACCAGGATGTCTTCTCTGTGTGTGTGTGTGTGTGTGTGTGGGAGTTCCCATGACTGTCTCTTGCATCCAGTTTGTGTTTGCTTTGTGCACGTTGAGTTCTCCGTGTGGACGTGCTTAGCGCTGTCAGGTATGATGAGGCAGTCTGTATTGCAGTGCAGAAAGCACAAGGCCAGCGCAACATGATCCCTCTGGGTTCTGGGTGTCTGTCAGTTTGACTGAGGGCCTCACTGGCCGATCGGTTTGTCTACCTGACTGACTAATCAAAGCTCAAGCAGCGACTGTTGCAGCATGAAACCTGCAAACTCCATCTGTGTGGCTATCATCCGCTTTGTTATTTCTGGTTTGTGTGTTTATACTGTATATTTTTCTGCACTGCAGTCGATGTGCACATAAGTGGATGTGGGCTTTTTACTACCTTTGGTGGTCCTCTGACAGCTCACCTTTTGAGTCAGCAGAGGTTGGCTATACAGCCTGAAATGCTCTGTGTGCTTGAGCCTGTCCCATGATAAAAAAGCATCTGTCTGTGTTCCTGTGTTTACAGTGCAGTTTGTGTTCAGAGTCCAGTTGGGATGGAGCATGCAGACAAGGTCCAGTACTGATTTAGCTTGCCATTTTTTCCTGCCTTTTCTTATTTCATCTATGCTGTGTGACTCTCTCCACACAGTGTTTTCCCATCTGTTTCCCGTCAACGCCATAGATAAAATAGTTTCTGAAAGCATCCCTGCAGGCCCGTACCTTGATAATGACGACTCCACTGATGTGAGAAAAGCCCGTACATTCATTATGAAGACAGGTGATAGTGACAGTAGAACAACAAAAAATACTCTTGGGTTGGGTATCTGAAAGTTGTAGTGTGTGGCCAGTGACGTTACCTTCCAACACATTCCTGGTTCACTTACCAGTTTATTCATCAGATTTTGTGCACAAAGACTGAGCTTGTTACTTAATATGGTAGTTAATGTGGGACATTTGTTCATTGTACTTGCTTTTTTAGACGGGATGAGTATTTTACTTTAGTAGAAAACATGACCTGCCATTGCAGAAATTAAATATGTACAGATTTGATTTTGCTCGATGGCTTAACATTGGCGTGAATTGGCATAATAGCTATGAGAGTGATAAACATTAGTGTGGCTGTTGCTTAGGCAGTCAAATAACCAAATTGTTCACATGATGAGATGCATCAGAATCTTGGCTTACCACCTGGGCCAAACCATTTCCTGGGGGGAAACCCTGTTTTGTGATTTTTGCATACATATGCCAAATCGTAGATGGATAATCGGTAATGCTGTCGCAATGTTAGGTCTCATTAGTCTCTTTGACAGTTTGTACAGATTAAAAGCTGTTGAGGTTTCACTGAATGGAAGTTTTCCTCGCTGTGGCTCATGTGTCACTGTGCAGGATAAAGCGTAGGTTTGCATCTGGAAGAATAACATGGCGGATGTTGTATCATACCAGCCATGTTGAGCCATGTAGCTCGTTGATGAAGGGCTTGAAACATTTCAGTGTATTTCATTCATGCACAGACTGACATCCGAAACAGCGCTGCCAGTTATCCTGCAGCTTGCTCGCCAATTACGCAGAGATTGATATTTATTTTCCTGAGCTGTGATCATTTCTAATGAATGTGAATGCAAGTATTCTTTCATTGTGCCGGGTGTGGGTTGGTTTGGTTGCAATTCAGATGGATTTGGAAGAGAAAACATAAACATGTTTGACCTTGTGTGGCTGCTGTGTTGGAGTGGGCCGGCTCTATCAGCCGTGTGCAGCTGTCTGTTGATGTGATGAACAAGCACTTGCTCACACGTACCAAACTTGAATACATAAAAGCAATGATTGTAAAAACATAAACCACATTGCTGAACACCTTTTTATAGATCTGCCGTCAGCAATTAGCAGCAGTCCTCTTGCTTATAAGGAACTGCAGCCAGGACGGAAAAAAATATGCCTTTTCTACAGACCAGAGTAACTGTTAAGTCCAAAAATACACCTGTTAAATATATCTTAAGAATAGAACAAGATCTCAAATCAAAGGTTAGGCAAAGAACTTTTCAAAGTGCATGTTAGAGTCCAGACTTACCACCATTATAGTGAAAGCTGGTTTTAATGACCTCCCTGATGTTACTGCTACATTCTCCTTCAGGCTTTGTGTGTTTCATGTCAACGCAGGAGGAAGTCACAGCGCTGCTAAAGCATTTCTTCTCTTACTGTTCCACCCTTTTGATCCTGCTTTTCCCCCACCAATCACCTCAGGCTCTGACCTGCCTTTACCTCAGCCGCGACCAGAAGCAGCAGCAGCAGAGAGTAGTGTCGGAGGGAGTGAAAGGGGCATGACTATTTTCTTTTTTCGCTTTCAGGTAATCTGTCTCGCTCTTGTGAAGCCAGTGGTACAAACGCCAGCCAGTAACAGGCCTCAGAGGAGACATTTTTTTTCCTCTAGCCGAG